GGAGGGGGGTTTCCCGAGTGGGAAGGAGAAAAAATCGCCTGGGGGGGGGGGGTGTGGGGTGTGTGGGGGGGTATTCGAGATCTCCCTTTTCAGCCAAACACAATAGTCTAAAAATAAACTGAAGGTTGTTGATGGATTAACGGTTACAGAAATAAGATACTACGTATTCCTAGGATTGCGTCCGTCTTCCCGCTGCGATTTCTCTCCCTGGAACATATGATCAACGATTACTTACGGAATGATAGTATTACCTCGCTGCAGGTTTACAAGATAACAACATGGCAACCATCTCTAAGCACTTGCAGGCAAAGGTCTCCAGGTTAAGCAAATCCATATACATCATCCATAGCAGAGGTTAACAAAAAGACAGCTATAAAACGATCTTGCTAAATGAAGTCTATCATTTAATAGCACTTGGCAAAATGGTAATTTCTGAAGGCTATTTTATGTAACACAACTTCACTGCTACTGACCTGAATGCGACATGTTCCATTTTAGGATAACTATCTAGAGAAAAGCTCTGAGACTATACCCCATAAACCACAACAGATCCATGAACTACACCTTCAAATATGGATTACCGTCTCTTTTTGCTGGTCTCTAGGACATTATGCAGGCCTGTAACTTGCAGGATTGAGCAGTAGAGACATCCATTGGGCATCTAGCATTTCTAATCTTTCTCCAAAATGTGATCAACTTTATGTAAACAGATGTGTGCCTAACTCTTCTGTAAAACCGGAGCCTACAACTTTCTTTGACAATCTTTCCTGATGTTAAAGAGTTTGTTTGTCAGGCCCCTACCAAAATCTCCCTTTCTGACACTGAAGGGTACTGGTTCAAGACCGGCTTGCATTGATGATCAAAAATAGTTTACTGCTCCATCCGTGACACATTGCCAAATATTTTGAATGCTAATGTAGCTTTGACATATATTAACAGAAAAAATCTCAAGTCTTGCTCTTTCAAACACAAATTGAGGTGACAGATCACTGTTACAGATGGAGTCAGATCTCTTTTTCTTCCTCCTGACATCGCCTTTATCTCCTTCTGTCCTATTTCCATCTCCTACCTCCTTGCGTCAGCTGTGACAGCTGGCAGTTGCTTTGCTGAGCCTTATTTACCTCAGCGAAATGATACAAAACATGATGCTCTGGTGCCTCCATTCAGCCTACTGAGGGATCTGCCAGCACCAGCTAAAGGCAGCGGGTAGGAGGACGTAGCTGAGAGCAGGGAGAAGCAGCTTCCTCTTTGGATGGTGGTAAACTGTTATGTTGGCTCCCTTATTTCATGAAACTGAAGCTTCCAATACTTAACCACACCACCAAGCAATGCTGTTAAGATCCTCCCATGGCTGTTTCCCTAGTGTTAGATCTTAACAGTAACATAGCAAGTGAGGCAGCTCAGCTAGGCTGATGGCAGGAGGGTTCCACCAGATCACCCGCTGAACCAATTCAGCTAGGAAGTTGGTGGACACATGGGGAAGGTGGCAGGGAACAGAAAGCAAGCAGAACTATTCCTTTCGTTAGCATATCACTCAAGAAGTTTAGAAGCCTACTCCTGCTAAATTGTGTTGCACCATGCCTTTTGGTAGTTATGAGAATCACCAATATGTATCTAATATGAACAAAGAGGAGAGCCAGAACAGAATCACTTCTGAATTCAGTATTTTTAAACTTACTCATTTTTGAGTAATAACAACATAATTTAAATTTCTAAGTCATTATAGAAGAACGGGCTCAGAAAAGGGACAAAACCAATGGTTTTATTAAAACCAAAAGTATCCGATGCTTTCGGCTCTTACGTTTCGCCAATAAGCAATTCACACATACAGAAAGCTAATGAACAGTTTCAAGTGTTTACTCTTAAATAATTTTACAACTGATGACAGACAAACAGTTTTAATTCCAAAAGATGTAAACATTTGCTTGTGCAGATCAACTTTTAACACACTATGGCTTCTTACATTCCTCTCTTACAATATTATCAGCATCTAAAACCTGCTTCTGCACCATCTAGTCAACACTACTCCATTGCTCCAAAAATAAGTTAAAATCATCCTTTCATATTAAGATAAAACATTTTACTGCTCACAACCGAAAATACTTGGTACCTATTGCAGAACATGTTGCTGGATGAAGTTTTAAGTCTTTTCACTTCTTGAATAAACTGCACATTTATTTTCCATGTGTTCTAATAATTCTCCAGTGTGTGTGTACACGTCAAAATGTAATTCACCTGCTCAACAAGAAAAATATGCTCCAAATTTACTCCAACAGAAATAAAAACCATTGTCTCAAAAGAAGTAGAGCTGGTGTAAGGTCCAACTTAAATATCAAAGTAGTGCTACAATATGCTTAAAACTAAGAAGTAACTAAATTTAACTACCAACACTCAGCATCAAGGCGTTTCCTTTCACGTCTGTTAGTTTTGTTTTAAATGTCTGAGAAATTTTTTTTGTTTTTAAAACTTGGTACTTAGTCTAAATACTGCAAAAATTGTTTGGGGAGATGCAGCATGTTTTTAGAAGCTGAGATAATCAAACATGAGATCTAACACAAACATTTGTAAAAGCAGGTTATTTTTGTTTTAGAAGTCAAATTCATTTGGATGAACTGACTAGCATTTACAAACATTTCAGTATATCAAGAAAACCCCCAAATAAAACAAATTATTTGTACAATTCCATGCCTTGTACAGTTAAAAAAATAAATCAAAAAATACAAATAATTAGAGCTAAAAAATAATCATACAAATTTAGATTTTCCAACAGTTAACCACGTTACAATAAGCCCATTCAGCCACCATGTTTGATCTTATAAGTCTACTGGTTTTGCAGTTGGTAGCAGTTTCACTTTAGATATTGGATTCTTTGGAGATCCTCTATAACGAACTCTTTCTTTTCCTGGAGCACTTCTTGTGGTTGTAGATTTTTCTGGGACAGCACCTGGAATATTTATATTTGCATTAACTTTTAAACTGGATTTCACTGTTTCATGGTTGGTTAGATCTTCTAGAACAGACTTTGATGGATGAACAGTTGCTTTCTGTTCGTGGATTCCAGCAGTTCTGACACAAACATCAGGCTTGTCTGATGGATTTAACGGCCAGCAACATGATTTGGATGTTAAGTCTAGCTGCTTATGAGATATAGAAACTTGATCATATGTACTTTCACTCCTGAGTGGCAAAGCCATGGAATTCTTTGAGGGCTTTTCTGTGCGGGAGAAGAGTGCAGAGTCATAGCTCAAAGATTTAACAAGCGGTGAACCAACATCACTTGCTTTAAGCAGCTGAGAGCTTACAGATCTTCTCTTAGCCTCCAATAAGGAATTCATTCTCCTCACAGACTGCCTAACAGGAGTACGTTGAAATTTAAGAGGTGGTTTAGTTTTGCTTGTAGAACTTGGATCATTTAGTGAAAGCTTGTTGAACCATTGTATGTGGTCAGAAACTTTTCCATGGTCAGAAACAGTTGACGTTTTAGTTAAAGTTTTATCAGAATTTTCAGCTTGCAAGTATTGGTTGCCTACTTCATGTTGTGATTTAGGCAACTGTGAAGTAGGAAGCTGTCCTGCCACAGAAAGTTTAGCAGTATCTTCTTCCAAATTACAGCATTTTACTATACAGTTTTCAGCTGTTTGCGAGTGTGTTAATTCTATTTCCGCTTTTCTTCCAAAGGAAT